AATACTTTTATTCGTGTTATCATATAAAGGATGTCGACTGTATGAATGAATATATATATCTGTTAAAAATGTACAGCAGCCTTAAAAAATAACGAGATGGAGAGAAACTTACTTTCATCTTGTTTTTCTTTGCTTGAAGTTTCTTTTCCCTCTTTTCCTTCTCTTCTTTCTCTTCTGTATTACCCACAATTTGAAAGAAATAGTTAGAAGATGTATAAAAACCAGACAAAAAACTACACAAATTGATGCGGTTAATCTGCGAAAATGCATAATTTGAAAAATTAACAGTTGAGGTATCAAATTGCAGTACTTCTGAGATCGAAATCGTGAAGCCTTTTCCTTCTAGCTAAATCGTTCTTCTTTGACATGTTTGCGGAGCTTTTAACTTCACTAAACGCTTACCCAGAGAAAAGCTTGTAATCCTAAGCGAGCTACGGAGCTCCGATTCAGGCGGATGGCCGGTGGTGCCGGCGGGGGACAGGCGGTGTAGTTGGAGGAGGGTTGGAGCTCGGAGGAGTAGGGTTTATTGTCGCGAACCCTACGGCTTTGTTTGGATTTTGCACCATTAACGAATTAAATGATTATTACTATTTACTAGTACGTGGTTTTTGAAGAGCAATTTATATATTTGTTAATAAAAAAATAATAAGTGGACAAAAAACATAAAAAAATGAGGGGGGTGGACCAACATAAAAAAATACGTATTTACAAAATATATTTTCTGTATAATTTAATTAAAAAACATATTAACTGAATACGTTTTTCACATTTTTTTTTACAAATAAAAACGTATTCACGGAATACATTTTCCAAATAATTTTTTCAAAAGCCGTATTCAAAGAATAATGCTTTTTATTCATTTCCACCTATTTTTTTCTTTTTTTTTTTTTTGTCCACCACTCTTCTTTTCTTTTTTTTGCCGTAAAAAATTCGGTTTTTGAAGGGGAAAAAAATATGTTTGTAATAAAAATAATCTATAAAAGTATTTAAATTGTTATTGTTAAATTAGAGTAATGTTCACATAGCCACGTTGGGCATACACACCGCTTATATGCATGCACACATTGGCAGTGGCGAAACCATTAAGGGGGTCGGAGAGGCGCCGGCCCCTCCAAAAAAAAAAATTTAAACTAGGGGTGGAGGATTTTGCTGGAACTAGAAGATTTTCCTTTGAGCACGCATGTTGGGCCCTCCCCGGTTTCATGCGGTACATACATGGCCGGAGGGGCGCTACCGATTTTGTCGTGAAAATATTTTTTAAAGGCAAATTGGGCTCTCCCCGAAACGGGATCCTGGTTTCGGGACAAGGAGAACTATAACATCATCAGAATTTAATATTTTTTTTCATTTTTATTATATTTTGAGTTGGTTAATTAGCTGACTTGCAGTGTACCGACATGACTCAAAAACCGAGTCGATCATTATCGAAAAATACTTTTATGAAAGTACGGGAAGCGGAGAGTGCGTTGGTGGCATCGATTTATGATTTTGAGGTCCCGGCCATTTATTTTGGGTAGCCCGAAGTTGAGAAAAAAGTGGCAGCGGCGATGATTTTATTGTCATTTTCATGTCAAGATTTCGGGTAACCGTCGGCCCTCGTTAGGCGTGCTGAAAATTAGCGGGAGTGCTTTCTTGAAAGCACGTGAACAGTAGAATCCGTTCGTAAAATTTATTTCACGTTTCGAAGTTTCGAGCATTTATTTTGAGAAGCTCGAAGTCGAGTGCACATAATAGAAGAATAAAAAGCCTTTTTGCGGGGTTCCGTAAGGTTGCGTGTGACTTCGGTTTAACGAGAATCGAGTTGGAGCGTGTAGACGATTCAAGCACGATTCCATACGGACAAATTTTGCATTTTTTGGAGTTTTGAGCATTTATTATGAGAGTTTGAATCTCTGCGTTAAACAGTATCAAAAGGAGCAAATTTGTCGAGGACGAGTTCGATCATTCGAGGCTTCGTTTTCTCAATT